TTTTGTTATTTTAATGAGTTAATTTTAAATTTTTGTGAATTAATTTTTTATGTGTTAATTATACAGTGTTTCAGTTTTATTGTTAGGTACAAATTTAAATAGTTAATAGAATATTTAATTTTAAGATAAAAGTGTTTTGAAAAATGCTATGAAAAGGAGCTACACCCCCTAAAAAAGGTACGTTTTTTAAAGGGTTTTTTCTAATATTATAGAATAGATAAAATTACAAAATTTGGTACCTTAATATGTACACCCAAACAAATGCCAAATAACAAAATTTTTAATCAGGGGCGTCCTAGACGGTAAAACAAATTTAATTTTTAATTGTTATGCTGTAACATAAATTTCTAAACCGATTTTTACTAAAAATCCGTAAATTGTATCGGAAAAACCCAAAAGACCTTTTTTTATGAAAAACTATGAAATTTTGTTGCTGAAAGTGGCAAGAAACCACAGACAAAACAGTTAGAGTAAATTTTTACCCTAATCCCATCTAGTTTAGGAAGCACCTAATTAAAAATTTCAACATTTTACATACATGATTTGATTTTTAGCAAAAAACATGACTGGCATTTTTTTTGAAAATCTAAATTTTAACTATTTAATAAGATAAAAACGAAACAATTTGCATAAAGTTTTCAATATATGTAATTGAAAAATATTTAAAATTCAATACATAAATCTACCTAATCGAAAAATAAGGTCATTAAATCATAAAACATCTCACGTTTCGCATAACCGAATTTACATAAAATCGAATTTTGAACATTTTGAAAAATTATGCTTTGACTTTTTCATAATGAAAAATTAAAAGTAGTAGTAAAAAATAATTCTTTTAGTTGTCTCTTTATGAATAAATCTAAAAATTTTAGATTTTGTGTAATTTTTTGTCTGTTTAGAAAATCATTGAATCATTAAACAACTGTGTTATTTTCATACAGGTCCGGACTAGGGTATTTTGACCCAGAGGAGTTATTAGTGTCTCCAATATTGATAATTCGAATTTTAAATTTCTTTTTTTTTCCTTTGGTTCACTTATTGTTTTCTTATTTTTAATTTCCATTTCTAACATTTTTTTTTCTTGTTTTTAGGATTATTTGGAATATTGAAGACATAAGGGTTGAAAAATAACTGGCAAAGAACTATTTTTCAACCCAATTACTTGGATCTGAGGACATTATTTTTGCAATATTATAATTATAAAGATTAAAGTTTTGCAGAAAGAAAACAAGGACAAAATTTGAACGGTTTTACAAAATTTTTAAAGATCACTTTAAATTTTTGCAGCATTTTTCGATGTTATAACAAAAGAGTAAATTTTTATTGCTTGGTCAATAAGATTTTACATACAGTTGACCAATTTTAATGATCAAAACTTTGTGTTTAAAATGAAATAGTATTTTTTTACAGAAACTATGTAGATTGTATTACTTCTTCCAAAGTTACATACATGGTTGAATTTTACAATAAAATTTAAAATAATAAGTTGTACAAACAAATATAAAACAGGTAATTAAAAATAAAATAATGAAGACAAACACTGATAAATTTTTTCTCGCTTTTAGCTGAGACTGCAAAAGTTTAATTTGGAAAACTACGAGAAAACTGGCGCCCGATTATCTATTGATTTTCATTCTTTGGCTAGACTTGTGGGTGCTACAAGTTGTTTTCGTGGTTTTATGCACATATTTTGATGTTTATATCTTGTAGATCTAATAAAAAAACTAATTTAAAATGGATAAAAACAGTAGAACAATGGTGCGCTAATGTAAAAATAGTAATTTTTTGGTTTAATGACTAATAAAGTTGAAAATTTACACTAAAAAAATAAATAAAAATATCGAAATATACATTTTTGTTTCTTTGACTCCTAAGTGAAAATAAAATCGTAGAATAAATACAGGTGCGCTAAAACTCGCGCTCCAATAAAATACCATATAAGGTAAGATACCAGGAAAATGGAAAAAAATGTAAAAAAAGTTATGAGAGTAGGTATAAATTTTGCACTTTGACTATTTATTTCTGTTGGAAAAATAATTTTCCAAGTTTTTTTGCTACAGGCTATAAGAAGCAGGCAAGGAAGCTGTATCCTAAATTGTAACTCTGTTTAATGTTATTTGGCAAAATTTTTGTATCTTTACTAAAAATTATAAAAAAAAAAAACAGTATCAATAAACAGACATAAAAAAATGTTAAATGTCAAAAAATAAATCAAAACTTTTCTCTGGGGAGCGAGTTTTGACACACCCTGTATAAACTTCCATTGCAAACTCACAGAAAATAATGAGAAGGTGAACAGAGGCCTCCTTTGAGAAAATGTCCGAAGGTCAGCACAATTCTAGAACGTTCGTAGGTGGATAAAATTCACATTCCACTTAGTTATCATTTTATTAAACATTATCTTACAAAAAAATTGAAATTAAACATTAATTTACAAAAATTTGGTAACAAACACAGCTGAAACGATGCCAAAGAGAGTCATGCTGGCACCGAGACTTGTAGCAGAGTTACACAACTCGCTTTTGCAACTCTTACATTCGGAGTTCTGTGGACATGCAGGTTCCTTGTCTTTGGTGACGATTTGGCATTTTCTTATTGCCATATTTGGAGTCTTGCTGTCTAAAATTGGAAGTTTTTATGCGATTTTTTCACTCTTGTTCATTACCTTTGGCCATTTCGGTGGTACAAACAGCTTCCTGGGACGCCCCAATATTTTGCCCACAAGTTTTAAATTCGGCTTTCGACACTTCGCATGCCTCCAAACAGTAGTAGCATTTTAAGGCCGCTTCGCCTGAAAATTCATTATTTGAATGCCAATAACGTAATGCGAAGCATGACGGAATGTGACATAAATAGACAACAATTGGTGTCCAAATGGGTGCGAGTTTGGCACAAAATACACCAAAATCACTGCGCAATAAAAAAAATTCTTTGACTTACTTTTTTGGAGCGAAAATGCGACAAGAATTACAGCAAGTAGCAGAATTTTCGACATTTTTCAAGTGTTCTGGGATATTTTTAAGCGATGAACACAATTTACTTCGCTGCCGGTGTTGTAAAACTATCTGCTGGATGAAAAGGTTGCCGTGGAGGAGGGGAGCGGTTTTGTGGATAATTTTCCTCCACGTCTTGGTATTAGAATTAGAAAGGTATCGAATCGAATCCGATTTATTTATGTAAGAGAAAAAATTCAGATTTCTACACGTGATGGGCGAATGATGTCAAGGAGGTGACCAATTGTAACACCTACTGGATATACAGAGTGTTCCAGACTTCAGAAAAATGTGAAATTGTGCTGTTTTTGTACTTACAAAAAAATTTGATTTGAAAAATTCATCAGTTGACGACGCTTTATTTAATACAAAAGATACAAAATTCATTAAAAAAAATTTGGTTTTACTTTAATAACCTTTGATGATGCTTGCATAAAAGCAAAACCAGTTAAGTCTTTCTGCTTGAAGAAGGTTCCCCTTTTATACAATAATACTTGAGATAGCAATTTTGATCAAAAAATTAACCAATTAAAATTTTATTTTTAACTGACTAACTATACAGGGTGAATAAAAAGTACGAAACTAAGCGTTTTTTAACAATCAATTCCCTTCAAAAAATAATAATCAATAAAAATTAAAATACTATTAAAAATGTGATCGTGTTTTGAGAAGGAAAATGTGTTTTGTTTTTGAGTTTCAGAATCGATAAATATTAAATATAATGTAGATATGTAGTTGTAATTCTTAGATCAAAGCCTTTGTATTAAAAAAAAATATGGTATGTTACCATTTGATTTTTTTTTATCATTCCTCAATTAATTTTTTCAAAAATTAAATAGTTCAACAAAAAACGTTTGTATTTGTACACCATGTGTCGTACCTATCTATGTGCAACATTTTTTGAATGTAATTTTAAACCTTCAGTTTTTAAAATGTTACTTTTTAATTTATTTTAAAATAAAACAAAGGTGAAACAAATTAATATTAAAGTAAAAATAACGAAGACAAAATCGATATTTTTTTACAGTATGATTTATTTAAAGAAACAACATGTTTTGATTTAATTTTTTACTTTTGTTTGAAAGCATAACATTCAAGTACTTCACCTCAAAATAAAAATTAAGCTTTTTTATACTTTTTTGATCAATATTCTTAATAAAAACTAAAGAAAATTATGTTGTTGTGAAGGTTAAAGGATTCACGGATACGCGTTGGTAAGCAACAAAATAATTTACACCTGAAATTACTTATAGGTCATGGGTGGACAAATAAATTGTTTATTTTTCAAATGACATAAAAAATATTAATAGGAAAACTATTTAGTCCGCAAACGTCACAAAAGTGACCACTTTTATGACTAAATATCACAATTAAAAGTTTTTGAGTTAAAATTTTGTTTTTGTGCCTAAGCGTTTTTACTTTTAACATGATATTATTGACATTTACCAATGTTGTTTCTTTCACTGTTTCAGTAATTTTTCAAAGGTGGATTCTCAGTAATCGACATTTTGCATTACTCACTGCACTAGTCATCCCATAGTTAAATTAATAAATACTTTAAAAAATCTCAACACAAATTCCGATACTGATGTTTAGTAGCAAAGCGTCCTGATTTTGTTTATTTACTTGCTAACTATTAAGTGTGGCTCTTTGCTCTAGATCTGAATACGTTTGCGGATAAAATATTATATGTAATGGGGTAAGTTTCTGTGGCTCAGTTCAATTATTTGCCTCACTACGTTCGGCTAAAAACATAATATACTTCTTTTAAAAGTTTATTGCTGACCTGAAATGTACATAATAATAATAACAACAAAATAGAAAAATAAATTCTTTATTTTTTGAAATTTTCTAAAAAGGAAGTAAACTTGTGCCTAAATAAATCAGACCAAAGGTAACAAAAGCCGTTTTAGCTACACTCCCACCCGATGTCGTGCACATATCACTTTTACAAAAACTACATACTGAGGAATTTGGGCATGGAGGCTCGTAATTTTTTCTAATAATTTGGCATTTCCTGATTGCAAAATCTGGATTGTTGGTGGCTAAAAAGGAAAATCGAAGTTTTCTCGACTTAAAAAAGTAAAAATGTTTATACTTTTGGAAATTTCATTCGTGCAAACAGCCTCATACGACGGTCCGATATTTTCACCGCAAATTTTTTCACGTGCTTTTGTTAATTCGCATGGTTCCAAACAGTGATAACATTTCAAGGAGGTCTCACCTGCAATTCACACCTTTACTCATATTTGATTATCGCACAATTTAACGCAATTACTTCGGACTGTAAGGGCGGCGGGGGTCGTTGATGGTACTGTGTTTTTGTTCACATTATTACAACTATTTGTACCACATTCCACACATTCGATTTTTCCACTTGGTGAAATTAAATCAAAATTGTTGTTTTCTTGTACGGTGTTTTTCAAAATGTCGACTAGAAAGGTGCAACCACCACTTTGGACGCATCCCTTAATTATGACGTCTATTAATTATCAATTTTTAGAAAATAAAAAAAAACGAAATCTGTGATACCTCTCGTAATCTCCACTGTATAACAATTTATCACACTTTTTTCCGGTATTTCCAGCTCGTGTTTCACATGTTTGGTGATGTTATTGTAAATGTTGCAATTTCTTAATGTGTGTTTTAGTTCACTTAAATCTCCTGAATAAAAATTTTCAAAATCGGATATGTAACAATGCAAACTGTAGACTAGAAAAAATTGATTATTATTGTATTTTCACGAAAAAAAACCCTTACCATTTGGAAGAATTAAAATTGTGTACAAAATTGCAATTTTTAAAACTTTACACATTTTAACGCACTGTCGTTTCAAGAACTAAATTTAGTTGGGAAAACTTTGGCGGACACTTAATTTTCTTAAAATATCCTCACATATGCGACGATTGCTTCTTATTTTTACAATATCTGCGTGAGATTGAATTTTTTAATACATATTTATATAAAATTATTTTGAAAATTTTGATTTTTTTATTTTGTAAAGTATGATTTATCTTTTAAATCACACATGCAGGTTGTGTCAAAACTTGCGCCCCAAAGAAATTTTTCAAGTAAATTAAGATACCAGGAACATTCAGTGTTTAAAAAATTCTATCTAAAAATTTTTGACATTTGACATTTTTTATGTCCATTTAATGATAATGATGATCTTGTATACCAGGTGAATAAAAAGTATGGAACCAAACGTTTTTGCTTAAACTACTTATTTTTTAAAAAAGCTAATTGGTGAGTGATAAAGTACTATAAAAATGTGATGATTTAACAAGAATAAAATTTTTCGAAATTTCCTTTTGTTTTTGAGTTCTACAAAAAAATATATTTTTTTAAATGACAACCCACTAAAAAATGTACTTTAAGGATTACAACTATCTGCTTTATATTTAATTTTTTCAAAAAATTTTTTCACATAAATTGCAATTCTGACATGGAAAAATCGCATAACTCAAAAACAAAACAAAATTTCGTTCTGAAAATACGATTACATTTTTTATATTACTTTAATTTATATTAATTATTATTTTCTGGTTCCATACTTTATATTCACCCTGTATTTTTTATATTTATTTAGTATAGGTACAAAAAATTTGCCAATAAAAGCCACAAATCACATTAAACAGAGTTACCATTTAGGATATAGCTTCCTTGTTTCTTCTTCTAATAGCCTTCTAGTAGCAAATAAAAAAATTTCCAACAGAAATAAATAGATTCAAAGCAGCAAAATTAAACTCTCATAAATTCGAAATTTTTATAGATATTTTTTTTAACATTTTTTTTCCATGTTCCTGGTATCTTACCTTATATGGCATCTTTCTTTGGGGCGCGAGTTCTGGCGCAGCCTGTATATTTATTTAGACTTACATAATTAGATTTAAGGCTAATAAAAAACGAAAACAAAAAATCTGAAAAAGTTATTACGAATCTTAATAAATTTAAGCTCTCCTAACTTCGAGATTTTTATAGATATAGCGAAAGTTATGGCGCACCCTGTATATCTTTAAAAAATGAATATGACAAAAACTCAAAAATCTAGTCTCTAGTGAATAAAATAAAAATTAAAAATAACATGTATAAAAAGTGAGAATGAAAAACAAAAAAATAGTAGATATCAATTATCATATCAATTATTACAAATTTTTTATTTTATTTAAATCTGCTTTCTATATCACCCTATATAAAAATACATGAAAATATTATACCAAGCCATGTAGTCTACCAACATACAAAAATCTATTTTTTTCTAAAAAAATACCACAAATGCTAGAAGCATGATTATTATTTTTTTTTACCTCAAACAGAAACTATTTTTTTTATTTGTAATTTAATTTTTAGTTTTTTTTTTAATTTTTATAGATAGAATTTTTTACCTTATATGACATTTTTCTCTAAGGCGCAAGTTCTGGCACACCATGTGTGTAAAATGTTCCGGGGAATCAATTGGCGCCGGAAAAACCGAAAATTTTTATTAGTTTGGAAGTTATAGTCGAGTATAGATTTTGACTAATCATATTTATTCTAATTTTAGCGATTTTTTCTATCACTATTTGTCGCTTTATAGGATGGGAAATTTAAAGTGCTTTCTAACAAACAAAAGCAAGCTGTTGATAAAGTTTCGAAGTACCAAAAATAAAAAAAATAAATAAAATAAAATAAAAAAACTTCAAAATTGATCCAAATACAATCCTCTGAGTTTAAGAGAGTCTAAAAAGTGCATAAAACGTTGTAGAAACGCAAAAAAATGTGTATGAATAATATATTGGATTAGAGGAGAGACACTAGCCGGGGGCGTCGTGGTTTAGTGACTTGCTTCCGGCGGTACAGTTGCAACGTTGCCAAATTGTCTACATTTTGTGCAAAACCTACCGTTTTTGCCATGCCGACTTCTCGGTTTCGTCGGCCGTTCTGTGAAAACCAAAAATTCTTCCGAATTGCATGCATCCTCTTCGCACTCATTACATTCCAGACTCCCTATCGAGTCAACTGTATTCCCTCTCACTTCAATCATTTTTTGAAATGCGCTTATCATCTCATTGCACTTGTTACTCGGGACACAGCCTTTGAAGACAACATCGGGGTCATCTAATTGCAGTAAAAGAGATAAGAGTATCAAAGAAGTATTTATTCAGTACCTGTGGTTATCGTGAAGCAATGCAATTTTTTCGATGGGGTTTCATTACTTGATTGTTTTTTTATGTAATCGATGCAGTTTTCTAAATTTTGTTTTAAATTTTTGATGTTTCCTTCTAAAACACTACTGGGGTCGGTTGTGTAACAATTTAAACTAAACACTGAAAACATTGTTGTTTAAAGTTTGGTGATTTGGAGCATTCCAATACCATTCTCGAGGAAATAAACACAAATTATGAGGACTATCACCGTTTTTTTCATTTTTAATATATAATCCCCAGGTTTTGGGATTAATAAAAGACAATTTACTTGATCAACACTCTAATATATGACGCACATGCGAATGGGCTTTGTTTATACTAAAAGTATACATTCTAGTGAAATATTCAAGCTGGTTTAAAGAACGCGAGATATTCTCAGTTTATTCTTCTTTATTACGTTTTTTTTAATAAACAATACTTGGATAAAAACTGAAAACTTAAACAAATTTTAAATAAAAGAAGAATTTAAATTAAAAAAATCATTATCTTCTGTTGTGATTTATTTTTTTTTAACCATATGGACGTAAACAGTGTCGCAAAAATTTGGAATCAAGTATTTTCCGTTTAAATTATTTACTTTCTCAATAGTAAACTAAATTTGACCGGTTTTCAAAATGAGTTCTATTAGATATTTTTTTCAGAAATATGACGTTTTTAGAAAAAAACTAAAGCTTATCATTAAATAATATACATATTAAACAAGAACGAGTCAATTGTTCTTCTATGACTATTCTGTTTTTTATTTTTTTTAAATAACCAAATTTTTGAAAAAAAATGCTTATGCAAATTTTAATTAAAACAAAATTTTAAAATAAACAAAAAAATTAAAAATCATAGTTGGCCGGTGATTTGGTGTAGGGGAATAGATGTTGGTTCTAAACTACTTTTCTCAATGACTTTTTGTCGTATTTGCCACATGCCACATTTTACTTGATAGAAAAAGTTTTTTTTTTAATTTTAACATATTTAGCAGGGCTAAACACCAAAAAATAGTTTTTTTCGAAAGTTCTTTGAGTTCTATTTGGAATTTTTTGGAAAATATTACTTTTTATTTGAAAAGAAAACAAAAGTTTATCGTTAAAAAAAAGATATACTCGTAGTATGATGAGTCAATTATTGTTATTAATTTATTCTTAGGTACACACATTTTAATTAAAAAAATTAATTAAGTAATTAGCAATTATTTTGCCCTTCAATTGCGATTCAATTTTTTTAACTGTATGCCGTTTTTGGCAAAAATTTAACTAAGTGTTTTCTTCTTTTTTTATTTACTTTCCAAGATAACAAATTAGTATTTGACGAAAATTTGATCGGTTTCCACAAAAAGCTTTTTTGATTTTTTTCTTTGACCTATTAGATGTTTTTTTTCAAAAATAGGAGGCTTTGAGAAGACAATAAAGGTCTATTATCAAAAAATACATTGGATAAGAACGAGTCGATAATCCTTTTTTTTATTCTATCTTTAACATTTTTTAAATAAACAGAACACTTAAGAAAATTAAATGCTAACACAAATTTTAATTCAAAGATGGAATTAGGTAAGTAACAATTATTTTGTCCTTCAACTGTGATTCAAATTTTTTAAAAGTATACCGAGCGTGGCAAAAAATTGGCAACCAAGTGTTTTACAATTATTTACTAGAAAATTTCGTCACTTTTGATGATTGACTTTTTCCGAAATTTAATCTATATTTTTTTTTAAATAACACAAGTTGAAAAAAGTTTTAAATACTCGTAAATATTTTCATTGTGTGAAAAAAAATGCAAACAATTTAGTTTATGAAGCAAACTTTCTTAATGATAAAAATTATTAATAAAACTCGGAAACAACACATTTTTTATACTTTACTGTTTCTAAGTGGAATTTTATGAGTCATTCTTTTTAATACGTGTTATGTCACACAAAACACAGAACAAGTTCCAAAATTTATTCTCGACAAAATTTACATTTATTTACATTAATTTGTTACTTTAAATATACAAAGCGGCAAATAAAACAGCAGCCAAACTAAACCAAGTCACTTTCAAGTTTGATCCAGAATTGCATTTATCGCTATTACAGTTGGTACAATCGTAATTGTCGGGGCATAAAACTTGACCGTTTTTATCAGGAACCACACATTTTCTTATAGCTTTGCTTTCATCACTAGAACCTGAAAAACTGCTAAGTATCCGGAAACAGTGATGAAAATAGTACCTTTCTTCACTTGTTTACTGCACTTTGAGGTGCTATGAGAACCACAAGGTACCACATTTGCCTTTTCAACGGCACATTCCTGGGTCACTGGTTCGCACTGATAGCATTCTAATTTATCGTCAGCAACTAAAAAAATCGTATTTAGTTTTGGAAACTAGATCATCAAAATATACTCACAAATTTGGCACACAGCCAACGAGAAGAGCGCTATAACAAGAAAATTCCTCATTGTAATTTTTTTTAACCACTTTGTGTGTCTTCTTTTACCAAACAACTACACCGCTCGATGTTTACCTACTTTATGGTAGGCGAGGAACATCATGTGACCGGTTATTAAAAGCGGTGCCAAGAAGTGGGTGCTTATTTAAAGACTTCCTAATAAAATAATAATCTCGATTTAATTTTTAATTAGTATCAAGTGATGTTTCAAGTTTCAATAATGACACAAAAATTCCAAAAATCATTATATAACAGCTACAATAACAAATTAGGAGTTATTGTCTAGAAGTTGATGTCATGTTTTTATTTTTAGGTCAAGTTTTGAAAGACTGTGTTGGGTAGGCCACCAACAATACATAATTTTGACTAAGTAAACAAAATTACTTACGTCACTGTTAATTTGATTAGTTTTTTATTAAGAATTCTAGCCAGAGAGTCAGAGACCATTCATTTTTAGAAAAAACTACAAATGTGTTTAATTTTTGATTACAGGAAACTGTAACAATTTTGTTTTTCAAGCCTATAGTTGGCGCTTCATTGGAAAAAACTTTAATATCCTTTCGTTTCTGCAATCCTGGTATTGGAACGGGTTTTCTAGACCCGGTTCGTGTTTAGTGGTTTTGTATTATTACAGTTATTTCAATTAAATTTGAAAATTATTGAGAAAAAACGTTATAGCTAACTGAATTTAAAATTTTGCACACCTCTTCTAACTCCTGTGTTCCGTATAAGACTCGGGTTCTGAGAGACCCCAGAGTATCATATCTGTGACTGAATAAAGTATTAGATAGAAAAGGTGGCAAGACTGTATGTAGTAGTTTTATTGGTTTTCTACTTTTTTTTCTTCATTAGTAGTAAAAATTCGTTTTTTATTTGGAGAATCCTTTTTAGGTAAATAATGTTTGTCACAAAGTCAATTTTGGATTTATTATTTTTTCTTATTAACTTTTTTTGCAGTTATTTGAGAAAAAAACTGATTTTAACAAAATAGGAGTTACGGACTTGTTGCACTATTTAATAAAATTAACAGCTTCGAATACCTGTTGTAACTCCTGTTTTCCTCGTAACACTGGGGGTCTGAGAGACCCCAGTGTATCATCGGGCTATAAGAAAGACAATTTTAACGTTTTAATTTTTAAATAATGATTTTTGTTTGTTAGTTGGAAGCCACAAATCTTTTTTTTTTGATTTTTTGATTATTTACGAAAAACGGTTAATTATTGTTGTTATTTCTGTATGGATTAAAAAATACTTTCTAGTAATTTTTAGGGTAAAAAATGAGACACAATTTCATTAAATTACATTTTATTTAGCAAAAATACTTGATACAAAATGAGAGGAAGCAATGATATCACAAGAATCAGTCGCGAAATGAAGCACAAAATGAAAAAAAATTCATTTATCTTCACTTTTTCTCTTCTTTCTTCTGCTCGACAGCCTTGGAGGGCTGCCCAGTCTGCACGATGGGGATGCTCCTGTGTTCCTCCTTCTCGGCCCCAACCCTGGGCGCCGTGATGGTCAAAACCCCATCCGAGGACAACTTGGACTCCACTTGACTCGCATCATGCCCTTTGGGCAATAAATACCTCCTCACGAAATGCCTGGAGATGAACCCATGCTCGTCCTGTTTTTCCTCGTGTTTTCCCTCAACTGTCACCATATTATCCGATACTTTGACTGCGATTTCCTCCGGTTTGAATTGCTGGACGTCGAGGCAAGCCTGGAATTTATCCTTGTCGTAGGTGACGGTCGATCCTGAGTCCTGGTGGGAGGCTAGCGAGCGCCAGGGGCGGAGGTATCCCGCGGGGCTGCGGAGGTAGTGGCGGAATTCCCGCGGGATCATGGGCGAGAGGAGGTCCTCCGGGTCCAGGGCAGAGCCGAAATGCTGGTCGAGGAGACGGGAAGGACGTCGGTAGTCGTAGGGGTCGTTGAAGAGCCAAAGAGCCATTTTTTCGCTTTTTTCTAGCACTTTTCACTTTTTCAGCGCTTGAAATCAGACTGCTGGGGGTGGAGCACCCGTGGGGTATTTATATGCGAGAGCGTAGAAAATTCCAGATGCGCAAACGCAGCGACAAAGTCTGGAGTTTGCTAGAATAATAATTGAAGGAAATGACAGCTCAGTGGATATTGTCACTTGGATTTGTCTTTTTTGACGTTTATATCCCTAAAAACGCACAATTTTTGTTTTTTTTTATGTACTATTATCAAGTCTCAAATTAGTGAAAATGCATTATTTGTAGTTTTTAGAAAAAACAAAAAAGTTTTTAAATGGCTAATAAACTTTTAAATGTTTCCTGCTTTAAAAAGAACGTTTTTATTTATTTTTTTGTATAATCTCAAATTCATCGAGATTTTTGAGTCAAGTTTTACCTGCAGTTTTCAAAATGCTACTATTTGATTAAACTTGTAATTATTGTAGAAAAAGTCAGTGTAAGTCATACGAAAATTAAAAAAAAACAGTCAATGAGATTTCTTGGTAAAATCGTTTAAGATAAGGTAAAATACATATAAAAAAAGTTTAAAAAATACTCTGTCAAAAAATTAATAATTTTATTTTGGCATTTGGCCTTTTTTATGTTTATTTAATGTTACCGATAAATTTGTATATGTTATAATAATTTTTCCAAAAAGAATTTAGACAACAAAACTTTTTCCCTTAGTAATGTTAGATATCACTTTAGTGTAATATAATTAATTATACATTTAATTAATTTCAGTTTAACTAGAAAGACTTTTGAGAGTGCAAAAAAATTTTGATTCAGAGATAAATTTGTCATATGTCATTAGAACATTTTTTTATGTTACTAAAATTGTGTTTTTGTGATTTACTGTTGTTTCTAATATAATTTCATTTTGTTGAAACATATTCATTTCAGAATTGTATGGATGTGTCAAACTTTATCACAGCAGCTTACTTGATTCCTTTTTTGTTTAAAAATCAACATTTCTCATTTTGCAGAAATCTTACAAATTTTACAAAATAGACCCCACATACCCTATATCGACATAAAGCTCATAAAAAATGCTATGTAATGATGCATGATATTTTCAAAAAATCGTAGTAGGCGATGAAACATCCACTCTTATCTCAAAACATGCGTTAAAATTTGAGGAATCGACTGAAAAAAAGTTGGTCACGTTATCTTAAATAGCTCTGAAGTTATGAATTTTTCTGTGGGTCTATGTGCGACGTTATTTTGACACATAAATTGACATAAGTCAAAAACAATTGCAGATAATTTTATGAAACTGAGTGCGTTATATCGACAATTTAGTGGCAGATTCCGAAATGTAACAAAAATTTGGGGTTTTTAGAACATAGTTGTGTATCTTATTTTGGGACATGCTGTATTAAATAAAAATATTTTTGATATGTGCTTCATTATAAAACCTATCGTTAAAAAAAATCAAGTCGATCGCTTGTATAAAAAAAAAATTATGAAGCTTGCACGTACCCCTGGGTCACCCTGTATATACATACTTAGAGACATATTTTTCAAAAACTTTTCAACTGACTTGAAAAAAAGGTTTTCTAATTTTAAAGAAATTGTTTTCACACATTTTGAGTTTCTACAAAGTGTTGCATCTATAGTCGTCTATGGAATTTCTATGTAAAATAAAAAGTGCCGCTTTGAGATTTTTTTTTATAAATCATTATAATTGAATTTTACAAAAACTATATGCATGGAGAAGTGTTATAAAGGTAAAAATTTAGAATTTAGAGACAACATCCTTCGAACGGTTTAAAATACTCGAAGGTGAAGAAAACGCCGAAATTTCCAGAATTTTCCACCCCTTATTACCAAATTAGCACAAAACAAACAATTTGTTATTGTATTTTTTACAACACATTAAAAAAATGACTCTCCAAGGTCACGCATTTATTAGCTTCAAATTTAGCTATTTAGTAGGCTTAGAATTACGATAATTAACAAATGCAGTTAATAGCAAGACAGCCTTCTTATTCTGGAACATTTATTGTTATTATTAATGGAAAAATACAGAATAAGGGAGCCAAGTATTTGCGATTTTTTTATCTATCAAACCGTAAACACTAATTGAACTAAAAATAGAATCAAGTAGAGAAGTCAAAATAAACAAACGAGAGACGATTTTTACAAAAATTTGCCAATTATTGGTGAAAATGGCATTGACGGTGATAAGTGATTGATTAGTCTTGCTTTTTTGGGCCGTTATCAGATAGCAACTGAACATCAGTTCAATAATCGACATTAAATTAAATAATTATCAAATTATTTAAATAAATAAGTTACAAAGTGTGTTCATTGGGTATTTGCACCAAAAAAACATTATTTTAAATAAAAATAATTCCAAATCGGGAAAATTCGCTATCGATCATTGCCGAAAGTTCGCGACTCGTCTCGAACATTCTCGAATTTCCGCCTCCCCTATAAATACGGTGACAACCGGCGTTTGTGCAGTCTGTCACAAGCATCGAGTGAATCAACAAGTAAGCAAGAAAAAGCGAAAATGTCTCTTCTGCCTTTACTCCTGAGCGACCCCTTCGAGTTTTCCCGGCCGTCGCAGATCCTGGACCAGCACTTCGGCCTGGGGCTCGACCCGGAGGACCTCCTGGCGCCCCTCATCCCTCGGGAGATGCGCCATTTGACGCGTTGTCCTGCGGGATATCTCCGGCCGTGGAGGAGTGCAGCCCAACAAAGGGATTGCGGATCGACTGTGAGCTACGACAAGGACAAATTCCAAGCCAACTTGGACGTCCAGCAGTTCAAGCCGGAGGAAATCAGCGTCAAGGTCAACGGAGACGTTATCACCGTCGAGGGGAAACACGAGGAGAAGCAAGACGAACACGGCTTCATCTCCAGACATTTCGTGCGCAAATACATGCTGCCGAAAGGGCACGACGTGGAGAAGATCGAGTCCAAGTTGTCTTCGGACGGGGTCTTGACCATCACGGCCCCCAGGTTCGACGTCTCCAAGGAGGAGCACAAGAGCGTCCCCATCGTGCAGACAGGACAGCCCTCCAAACCCGTCGAACAGAAGAAAGAAGAAAAGAAGTAAATTTGAGCAAGATTATTTTTTTTGTTTCAAGACTGATTTTTTTGTGATAATGGATAATGTAGCTTAGTTTCATTTTCTTTTGTATTGTTAGCCAATTTGTTCAATAAAGTTACCCTTTCTCTCTATTTCTGGTGTTTGATTTCACTTTTGACCGAAAAAGTAAATAATAAAGTACAAAAAACGGGTTTCTTGGCGTTTTTCTCTGAAAAAAGTGACAATATTCACAGAACAGAATACCGTCAGGAGGCGTGTCCAGGCAACGACCTTGTCGATTCTCGAATGTTTCGTTGCGTTACGTCTAAAATCATTGAGGTAGGCTATGGATCCAGACGTTTAGATTTTACATTGGCCAATATTTTCGCCTACACTTTTTATTCTGAAAGAAACTTAACCACGTTTTTAGTCAATACTGAATAATTGTATCAGTTTATTTGATTTCCTCTGATTTTAAAACAATTTTATTCAGGAAAAAAATTGATATTTTTGAAAAATAACATGTAATGTTTATTTTGGAAAAAAAAACTCAAAATTTATTAAACCGTTGTAAAATGTGAAAAGGGTATTTTAAACCGAAATAACGCCATAATGAGTCTATTATTCCAAAATAGTTAAAGTTGGGAAAAAAATCATATTTTTCATGTGTCATCCAGATTTGTCAAATTGCGCCAAAAAATATACATTGTGTCCCCGGATAGGTGAAACGACTCTTGTAAAAGATTCTCGATTTAAATTTTAATTTTTTTGGGTTCAGCCCTACTTGGGTTAAGTTAGTAATTTGTCACAAAATTTTAGTTTTAAAAATCAAGTGAGCCTTGGAAATTTTCAAAAACCTTTTTTTAGAATTATATATCTTTTATGTGGCAAATACGACAAAAAGTTATTAAAAAAAGTTGTTTAGAATCAGGATAAGCTCCAATACCAAATTTCAAAATCATCGGCCAACTATGACTTTTCATTTTTAGAAGTAAAATCTAAGTGTGAAATTTTCTTATTCATAATAAAAGAACTGTTAACATTGTAACATATAGAAAAACAAAAAAAGTTAAAATCTGCAACAGAAAACGTTATTAGAAATTAGAAAACTATAAATTTGTTTTTTTCTATTATAAATTCTCTAACCGTTATTTGTGTAAAAAATCAAGTCTGCTTGAAATCGAAGTGAACTAATCTGATGAATGTTTTGTTTATTTTTAATTTACTGTAATAATTTTTTTCAAAAGTAGAGAAAACAATATTATTGCCTATTCAACTATCAAAGTAAACAACACACTTATCGCTCTTATCAAAATTTAATTATTCGAATTCGAATAATTAATTGCTTGATTCGGGACCATTCGGGAAAAGTCGGGTTAGAAACAACGTTCAGAGAATACTGACGCTAGAATATTCTGGAAAAACACACAAAAACGCCTTTGCGACTCTAATTTCTTTATTTACAAAATTACAATTATAAAAAATATAACAAAACACTCACAACTTGGCTTTCACCACCGGAGCCTCATTTTTCACCCTCACCACCGGAATTTTCCGACTTTTCACATCCACCCGTGATACACTCACCACCAAAATTCCGTCAGAATAAAGCCTCGATTGGACTTTCCCCACGTCGAAACCACTCGGAATCGCACATTTTCTAATAAAGTGGCGTGAAATCGAGCCATCTTTATCCTTTTTCTCCCCGTGTTTACCTTCAACGACGAGAAAATTATCTTCGGTGATTTTCACAGAAAGCTCCTCGGGTTTAAAGTCGCGGACGTTCAAGTTCAACTCGAAAGAATCGTCATTTTCGAAAAATTTGAACGGATCCAGGAGCAGCAGTGACATTTTGACGGGGAATGAGTTTGGTTGGTAATGAAACAAGTGAGTGCGGTGCAAGAGTGGGAGAAATTTCTAGAAAGGGTTTACGTTCAATGGATGTTATCACTGGCGCCAATTTTTTTAATTTAAAATGATGAATTGGATAAATATTTGTGATAAAGTGGCTTTTTCCTGGAAAATTCTCCCATAGATTTTTCTGGAATTTTCCCGAACCCTCCTCTCGCCTATAAATAACGCTCACTCCTGGCGCTTTCCCAGTCGAATTCAAGCACTCAAAGCGTGGAAATGTTCTACCCGGTGTTCTCTCACGACATGCGCTACTTCCTCCGTCTGTGGCGGCCCTGGAGGCAGTTCGCCGCCCCCAACATCGAGTCTTCGGTCACCTTCGGCCGCCAAAAATTCCAAGCGGATCTCGACGTCCAGCACTTCAAGCCCGAGGATATCTCCATTAAAGTCTCCGAAGACAACACCGTGACCGTCGAGGGCAAACAGGAGCACCAAGAGGGCGAGAATTACGTCTCGAGGCACTTCGTCAGAAGGTTTGTCCTCCCCGAAGGCCATGATGTGAACAAGTTGGAGTCGACGTTGTCCACGGACGGGGTCTTGACCATCACGGCCCCCAGGATCGCCAAGGAGGGCGAGGAGGGGAGGGCCATCCCCATCACAAGGACGGGAAAACCCCACAACAGTGGCGAAGTGGAAGAAAAAAAATGAAGTAATTGATTTCTAATTGTAATAGTTATAGGAATTTTTGCTATTTCCGAGACTGATTTTTTGCATAAGCTGTTGTAATTTTTATGTGAATACTCAATCTGTAAATAAATGTTTTTTTTTACTGATTTTCTTGTTTCAAAATCTTGCGCAATCTTACATCAGTGTTGCCAGATCAAAAACAAAGTTCACCAGAGCCGAGTTGAAAAATTCGCCAAATTTTCACCAGATTACGATTTGAATAGCAAAATCTCGCGAAAAAACGCTTAAAAATCCGCTTAAACTCTTGAAGAAACAAAAATGACATACATTTCGGATTAATTCTCTGATTTTTCCACTTGTTTTCAACAGAATTTTGCGAAATATTTGCGTTTGTAGCTGAAAAACGCTCTAAAATGATCGAGAAATGTAATTCTAGACTTAAATTCTTGATTTTTTAGTTTGTTTTAGCGAAATCTAGTACTACAAAAACGCACTTAAAGTATTTTCAGACATCAAATTTTGTGGTTTCTCAGCTTATTTTTGTCGTATTTGCTCAAAAACCCATTAAATTGAGTGAAACATACAAAATAACATCAATACATTAATTGTTTCTTGTGATTTTTAAGCGTGTTTGGGAAAAGACTTTGCAAAATAAATAAGTCTCTGGTTTAAAAATGAAGTAATTCGAGAAAAGCAAGTTAAAAATAATATCAATTTCATTTTAATTTTGTAATTTTTTTGCCTGCTTCAACACAATTTTTAGAATTACTTTGTTTTTATATCAAAAACGAGCTGAAACACTTAAAAAAGGCAAAATATCGCCGTCTTTGGTCGAAGTTGTTGAATTTTTGGATTGTTTTTAACGAAATTTTGCGAAATAATTATGTTTCTAGCTGAAAAAGTATTCGAAAAAGACAAAAATAAATTGTCTTTTTTCGATCCTGTCTAGTAAAATTTTGTAAAAAAAAACAATAAACAGTTATTTTTGACTAATTTGGTTTTGTCGACTTTTTTGAAAAAAATTGACGAAACAATCAAGTTTCTGGTTGAAAACGTAGAAAATACTGGAAAAGCAGCGGCAAAGTGGAAGACAAAAAAGTAAAGTGATTGATTTCTAATTGTAATAATTATAGGAATTATTGCTATTTCCGAGACTGATTTTTTGCATAAGCTGTAGTAATTTTTATGAATACTCAATCTGTAAATAAATGTTTTTTTACTGATTTTCTTGTTTCAAAGTCTTGCGCAACCTTATATCAGTGTTGCCAGATCAAAAACATAAAATTCACCAGAGCTGAGTTGAAAAATTCGCCAAATTTTCACCCCATTACGATTTGTGTAGCAAAATCTCGCGAAAAACGCTTAGAAATCCGCTTAAATTCTTGAAAAACCATAAATGATATACGTTTCGGCTTAATTCTGTGATTTTTCGACTTGTTTTCAACAGAGTTTTGCGCCAATATGCTCGACAAATGCAATTGTAGACTTAATTTCTTGATTTTATAGTTTGTTTTAGCGAAATCTGGTGGAAAACCTGAGATATTAGTACAGAAACGCACTTAAAGCATTTTCAGGTATCAAATTTTGTGGTTTCTCAGATTATTTTTGTCGTATTTGCTCAAAAACCAGTTAAATTGAGTGAAACATACAAAATAACAGCGTGTTTGGACCAGATTTTGCAAAATAAATAAGTCTCTGGTTCAAAAATGAAGTAAGTCGAGAGGAACAAGCTAAAAATAATATCAATTTCGATTTAATTTTGTATTTTTTTGCCTGCTTCAACATGATTTTTATAATTTTTTTGTTTTTATCTCAAAAGCGTGCTGAAACACTTGAAAAAGTCAAAAATAACACCGTTTTTAGTCGAATTTGTTAAATTTTTGGATTTTTTTAACGAAATTTTGCAAAATAATTGTGATTCTATCCTGTCTAGTAAAATTTTGTAAAAAAAACAAACAAAGCTATTACTGACTGATTTGGTTTTTGTCGACTTTTTTGAAAAAAATTGACGAAATAATCAAGTTTCTGGTTGAAAACGTAGAAAATACTAGAAAAGCAGATTTTTTCATCTTCAAAAAATCATTAGATATTAGAATATTTACAAATCACCAGATCTGGTAAAATTTCAGCAAACCTGCCAACACTGCTTTACATTATTTCTGTGTAATTGTGTACAGTCTTTTTTTATTTTCTGGTGGGGGTAGTGTGAATCAAGAACACGACGTGACCTCCGTCTGTTTTTAACCTTTGACAGCTTCTGACATTTTGTGCTAAAGTCAAAAATAAAAACTTCTCCCTGGCATTGGATTTGAATTACGATTGTTATCATGACATAGATATTGGCCTCAAAACAGTTAGAGAGAGCAACAATAAGGCTGTTTACAAATGTTGAAAAGAGATAGCTATCTGTTACGTCTTTCGAACTATATATTAGTTGATCCACACACATAAATTAAAAAAACGGACTTTAATATCACAAAAAAAATGGCTAAATGGTCAATTGTTCCTTCAATCACCCTGTATAACCCTTCTAGAAATGTCCATATCGCGCATACCCACCCGGCGCAAATCTCCATTCAATTTCGTGTTTTCCCAGCAACGACACAAGTGTCAAAATGTCTCTTTTGCTCTTTGGTGACTTTTTCGAGAGCCCCCGACACCCCTATTCCCGTCTTTTGGACCGGTATTTGGCTGCCCTCCTCGATGTCGATGATTTTCTTCCCCCGGAAACGCGCCTTTCCGGAAGACACCTCCGTCGGCCCTCTCCCCAAGTGAGTCTCAAGGACAAATTCCAGGTTTGCCTCGACGTCCAGCAGTTCAAACCGGAGGAAATCGCAGTCAAGGTGTCGGATAACGTGGTGACAGTTGAGGGAAAACACGAGGAAAAAGAGGACGAACATGGGTTCATCTCGAGGCATTTCGTGAGGAGGTACGTCATTCCAGAAGGGCATGACTTGGGGAAGATCGAGTCGAGGCTGTCTTCGGACGGGGTTTTAACCATCACGGCCCCCAAGATCACGGAAGGGGGACAAGCAACGAGGAACATCCCGGTCATTCAAACCGGACAACCCTCCAAACACGTTGAACATGTAGAACAAGGAGAAAAAACGGAAGAATAAATTGAAATTTTATGATTCATTTCCAACTTTATTTTGTTAAATAAACGAATAGAGAAATGTTGAGTTTTTTACCCCCTCTCAATTCTAAAGTTCAAATAGTGAGGTTACGTTGCTATTTTGATGTTGCCATGGTAACACTTTAAAAAGCACAAGTTGTTGCAAAAACAGTCTTTATTATGTAAAATAAAGGTATAGTAAATTAAAAAATCATTTTTAACGTTTCAATCTACATAATAGAATGAGATTAGTGCCAACTTTGCTTTTTACGAATGAATAACCGGATTTAATTTCAAACTGAATTTGATTCAAAGTGCATTTTTGCTATATCACAGACTTAACTTCAATATCCAAGCTCATTCAGCACCAACCTCACCTGCAAATTTAAAGTAGATCTAGGAGAAATAAACCGAAAACTTTAATTTTCCATATTTACAATAAATAATATGTACAGGAATGAACCTAACCTCAAAAAACAACGAATAAATTTCTAAGTGGCCGTCTGCGATTTAGCTTTCCTATGATCATAATTGACCAACCTTTGGCCTACTAGATATTTATCATTTTTAATATGCTCGTACAATTTTTTAAATTGTCTAATTTGTAAAACTACCACCGCACCCACGACACCTAGTAGCAGTAAAAACGGATAAATCCGTCTCGCTACTAGATTCCGCATTTGTAGATTACTCACAAACACCGGCACAATCGAGTAGGCCAAGACATAGGGCACGGCCAACGCTAAACCAAAACTGATAATAACCGGTGCTGCCAACTGTCGAAAAATGAAGCTCAGATGCATATCCCTGATACCATCTCTGTAGGCCCTTTCGATTGCCGCTCGTAGGAACCAATCGGGTCCCATCATTGTCACAGCACACGCGATTTTGGTGTATAGCACCCCCAAGGCCCAGTCTTGCCAAATGAACAAAATCGGGGTTTGGTGTATAGGAACCCTAAGCGGGACGATCACCACCAATTCCAGCAACATTCCAAACAATAGGGGAATCACCCCTAATAAAATCGTACTAGCGATCATCATCTTGAGCCCCAAAATACACCACTGCTTCAATCGGGAAATCATAGCAGCCCTCCCTTGGGGCAACCAACTCATGACCAAAGTCACAGCCCTCGCTGACAACCAACACAAGTACAAACCACACGCCGCTGTGTACAATTCGTGAACTTTGACCTCGGTCTGGGCGGAGTTTGTCGCGATTTGAGGACCGGGAGGCGGAGCTCCCACCAGCCACAATGCCATGACACGCCTCCCTAGCCAAACAGGAAGAGTCAAGGCGGTCAGACTAAACGTAACCAAGGAAACGCAAACGAGGATGAGGAGACCTACCAGACGTGCGACGAAAAAGGACGGACGCTCGTAGGGTTGGAAACCTAAAATGGGCGTGGTTAATTAAATTAGTAGCTTGTGAAATGACTCACCTGAGGGAGGTTCCATCATGAGAAGGGCGTGGTGGGCGGCACCTAAGCCGGCGCCCGGTTCGGGCGGATTGGCCACAGGTTGCCCCGCCTCGTTCGGCGATTGGCCATCACTATTGCCCAACAAATATGAATGGATGTTTAAAATCCAAGCCACGGCTCTGCACCAATTACGTACGAGGCCTTTCAACCAAATCCTCGTGTGGGATTGTTCCAATAACGCAGGGAGGATCACTTGTAAAAGTAACAATTCTAATGAGAGTTCATTGACCTGTGTTTCACTATTCAGAGACACAGTATAGGGTAGGAAAGATGGAAGAAGAATTTTCAAAATTCGTATTGGGAGCCACAACATCAAAAGTACAACACTTCCAAATATAACAGCCGAAATCAACAATTTCCTTATGTGTTCCAAGATGGGTAAATGGATCATTTCCTGAATTGGACTAAAATCGGGGTCGTTGAAATTACGCAAAAACCATAAAACTCCAGGTCTGAGAATTTCCCGAAGTAGGAGAACGAACGAAGCGAAATAATAAACATAAACCATTCCGATTAGCCAATGGATGAAAATTGAAGTCCCTGGAGCGGCACTAAAACTACTTTCGCGGTCTTTGAGCGACGCGTCGAACATTGCCAAAGAACAAATGTCTAACCACCAGCCACAAACCAATGGTAAAATCCCGATTTCAACCACCGAAAGCATCGATACTTTAACCACAACATAACACAAACCTAAAACGCGTTTAGCTTTGTAGAAACCCAAAACACCGGCGACTCGATGGAAGAAAACAAAGAAAAGACCAACAGTGCAATACCCAACTAGAGTGGTCAATAATCCTTCGAAATGGCTCGCCGAAGCCGTCTCTCTCATATTAACCAGAGATAGCGTCATTAAACCCATATGGTAGGGCGAATACGCAAATATAAGTATAAACAAGGTATTCAAGGAAATGACCCAGAAAACGTGCTCGAGAAACATCAAAGACCCATCGAGACCCAAAAGTCGCTCCCATGTGATCTCCTCAGCGGCTCTATCCCATTCCATTGGTATCCAATTGTTGTCTTCACCTCCATTCACTTCATTTTCTTCCTGTTGGTCCCCCTGATTCTCTCCTTGAGGCGCCACTTCGGCCTCTTGTCCATTATTCTCCTCCACGTCTTCCGGTATGTTATTATTTAAAACAGGAGGTGGGGCGTCTTCAGCCACGCCCACGTTATCTCTCTGCAACCAATCCGGTCCGCCCCCGTGTAAAATCTGCTCGCGCAGCCACACCAATCCAGCAAATGCGAATAAAGTACACGTGACTACAAAGCAACCTTGGAAAATATCCGATGCGAGATTTTCCATTGAAAGCAATTCGAATGGGAGAGTCAAGATGGCGTCGACAGTACCGGCAAAAAGGGCTCGATAGATACGACAAGCTGTCAAAGGGACGATTCCCAGCCATGCAATGGCGACTAGAGTGTAGTGAAGCCAGTATTTGATGGCGGTTCCGATGGAGGAGAGGAGGCCGGCGGCTAAGTCTTTGACAGGGAGGCGGCGAGGCATGTCGGGGGAGTAGATGGGAGTGAAGGAGAAACGGTAACTGCACAATTCGCAGTATTCTTTACGCGAGTAGCGCATCCATTGCATGAGGCATTCCTGATGGATCCATTTTATGCTCCCGGTGCAGATGCAGGGGTGGAAAAGGGGGCGGTCGGGGAGGCCTTCCGAACGGCACACCCGGCAGATGTCCGTATTGGAGAGTTCCGAGTCCATCATTACGCTGGAAGAGGGATAATTCAAAAATTAAAGTGGCCTGTGAAATTAAGTTGGCAACACAATAAAATATTTCAAAGTTGCCAACATAATTTCAAAGTGACAGGTCACTTACACCATGTAGAGGGTGGTCCAAAACGCTGGAAACGATTTTATTCTGGCGAAACTATTAATTTTTTTGGCAAATAAATTATAGGTGTGCAATAGCTATAAAAATGTTATTTAAAAAAAATTGAATATTAATTAATTGTTTATACTTACGAGATAAACATAGTAACCATTTTTTTTTTGGAAACCTACCACAACGAGCTTGTTGCTGTGCATTTTTTGTTAAAAAAATTTTTGACTTACAAAAATTAAAGAATTAAAGATTTTTTTTTGAATTAACTAATAGATTTTTTGGAAATAAATTAATAAATGTTTAAGGGTTGTAAAGGAGCGATGCCATAATATTTTTTATTCTAATTAATTGTTTAAACTTTTGAGATTAGTATACTATTTTATATATATTATTTTTTTCTTATATAAAAACGGTTTTTTATTTATTGTTTTTCAAAGATATGTTCAGGCATTTCATAAATGTACAAAAATTCTTATTGAAAATGTTACAATTTATGTTAAAAAAATTATAAACTTTATCTGTTGCCAAAACTTTCTTCCACCGGCCATGGGGTGGTACGTTAAGACAGACCAGTGGTAAGCACACCTTCTTTTATGTCGTTGCTATGGCGTCGTCATTTTGCTTTATTTTCCAAATAAAAATTGTTTCTCTCTGGAGCGCTTTTTGAGACAACAGCACACCTTTTTTTAATTCATGTAATAAATATTTTCATATTTCTTTAAAAAAACTATTAATTTGTTCTCAAAAAAATAGCGTTATTTTGTATTTACAAAAACAAATTATTGCAATTATTGCACAAAAACTTGTAGTTTACTTTAAAAAAAAATTCTTTAATTCTTGTAAGTCAAAAACATTTTTTTAACAAATAAGTGTGTGGTTTACAAAAAAAAAATTGCACCGCAACAATTCTTGTAACAAGCTCATTGTCTAAAAAAAATGTGGTAGGTTTCCATTAAAAAAAAATGTCACTATGTTTATCTCGTAAGTATAAACAATTAATTAATAATCTTTTTTTAATAGCATTTTTATAGCCATTGTACACCTATAAATTTATTTCTCAAAAAAATTTAGTTTCCAGACTTTTGGACCAACCTGTATACTCGTTTTCATATTAATGTGCATCGAAGTAGTCATTGCAAGGGATCATTATAAGGTGGCAACCATGCAAAAATTCAAACAATCCTAACGTTCCCTAAACATTATTTTCTCAAATAAAGTGTACCCCAGGTGGCAAACAATAATTAAAATTGACAACGTCATTAACATAGGGTAGCAAACATAAAGATTTTTGTCATTATTAATGTGATTAAATGACATTAATGACACTTTTTGTGTGAATCGGCCTTTAAATTAAAGATGCATTTAGACTTTTACAATCTACTTGACGCACATTAATAAAAAAAGGTATATAAAAAGTTAAAAAAAAACATACACAAATAAATGAGATGTGGCAACGTTGAAATTCCATCAACAATAAAAATTAATTAGATTATTGAAACCTCAGTAACAGCCACCTAGGAAATAAAGATTGTTGCTATGACATTAATACACAGTGTTGTCATATTATATATCTATAAACAGTAATTTTTGCTAATTTTACAGGGTGATTTTTAAAAAACGACTGGCGCTGTAAATTTTTGTACATTTCAAAAATTAAAAGGAATATTAAAGGGTTTTTAATTTATTATAAGCTAATGATTTTAGAATTTTTCTAAATGTCATAGTATATTTTGGGCTATAATCAACTTTCTTATTTTAAATTGAGACCCATATTTTTCTTTTCATAATTAATTTTCTTGGTCAGATTATTG